GGAGTAGACAGCAGGAAATAATCAAACTCAGGGCTGAAATCAACCAAATAGAAACAAAAAGAACTACACAAAGTATCAACAAAACCAGGAGCTGGTTCTTTGAGAAAATCAACAAGATAGATAAACCCTTAGCCAGACTAACAAGAGGGAACAGAGACAGTATTCAAATTGATAAAATTAGAACTGAAAAGGAAGACATAACAACAGAAACAGGAAATTCAAAAAATCATCAGATCCTACTACAAAAGCTTATACTCAACAAAAACTGGAAAATATGGATGAAATGGACAATTTTCTAGACAGATACCAGGTACCAAAGTCAAATCAGGAGCAGATAAACCACCTAAACAGTCCCATAACCCCTAAAAAAATAGTAGCAGTCATTAAAAGTCTCCCCACCAAAAAAAGCCCAGGACCAGATGGTTTTAGTGCAGAATTCTATCAGACCTTCAAGGAAGACCTAATACCAATTCTCTTCAAACTATTCCACAAAATAGAAACAGAAGGAACACTACCCAATTCATTCTATGAAGCTACAATCACGCTCATACCTAAACCTCACAGAGACTCAACAAAGAAAGAGAACTTCAGACCAATCTCCCTTATGAATATCGATGCAAAAATATTCAATAAACTTCTTGCAAACCGAATCCAAGAACACATCAAAACAATCATCCATCATGATCAAGTAGGCTTTATCCCAGGAATGCAGGGATGGTCCAATATTTGGAAATCCGTCAATGTAATCCACTATACAAACAAACTCAAATAAAAAAACCCACATGATCATCTCACTAGATGCTGAGAAAGCATTAGAAAAAATTCAACATCCCTTCATGGTAAAAGTCTTGGAAAGATCAGGAATTCAAGGCCATACCTAAACATAGTAAAAACAATATACAGCAAACCAGTAGCCAACATCAAACTAAATGGAGAGAAACTTGAAGCAATCCCAGTAAGATCAGGGACTAGAGAAGGCTGCCTGCTCACTCTCTCCCTACCTATTCAATATAGTACTGGAAGTCCTAGCTATAGTGATTAGACCACAAAAAGAAGTCAAAGGGATACAAATCGGAAAGGAAGAAGTCAAAATTTCACTATTTGCAGATGATATGATAGTATACTTAAGTGATCCCAAAACTTCCATTAGAGAACTTCTAAACCTGATAAATAACTTCAGCAAAGTGGCTGGTTAGAACTCAAACAAATTAGTAGCCTTCTTCTACTTGAAAGATAAACAGGCTGAGAAAGAGATTAGGGAAATGACACCCTTCACAATAGTCACAAATAATATAAAATACCTTTGTGTGAATCTAACCAAGCAAGTGAAAGATCTGTATGACAAGAACTTCAAGTCTCTGAAGAAAGAAATCAAAGAAGATCTTAGAAGATGGAAAGATCTCCCATGCTCATGGATTCGCAGGATTAATATAGTAAAAATGGCCATCTTGCCAAAAGCAATCTACAGATTTAAGGCAATTTCCATTAAAATCCCAACTCAATTCTTCACAGAGTTAGAAAGAGCAATTTGTAAGTTGATTTGGAATAACAAAAAACCCAAAATAGCAAAAACTATTCTCAACAATAAAATAACTTCTGGAGGAATCACCATCCCTGACCTCAAGCTGTACTACAGAGTAATATTGATAAAAACTGCATGGTATTGGTACAGAGTCAGGCAGGAAGATCAATGGAATAGAATTGAAGACCCAGAAATGAACCCACACACATATGATCACTTGATCTTTGAGAAAAATGCTAAAACTATCCAGTGGAAAAAGGACAGCATTTTCCATAAATGGTGCTGGTTCAACTGGAGGACAACATGTAGAAGAATGCAAATTGATCCATTCTTATCTCATCATACAAAGCTCAAGTCTAAGTGGATAAAGGACCTCCATATAAAACCAGATACACTGAAACTAATAGAAGAGAAGGTGAGGAAGAACCTTGACTACTTGGGCACAGGGGGAAAGTTCCTAAACAGAACACCAATGGCTTATGCTCTAAGATCAAGAATTGACAAATGGGACCTCATAAAATTGCAAAGTTTCTGTGAGGCAAAGGACACTGTCAATAGTACAAAACGGGAACCAACAGATTGGGAAAAGATCTTTACCAATCTCACATCTGATAGAGGGCTAATATCCAATATATACAAGGAACTCAAGAAATTAGACTCCAGACAACCAAATAACCCTATTAAAAATGGGGTACAGAGCTAAACAAAGAATTGTCAACTGAGGAAACTCTAATGGCTGAAAAGCACCTAAAGAAATTCAACATCCTTAGTTATCAGGGAAATGCAAATCAAAACAATCCCGAGATTCCACCTCACACCAGTCAGAATGGCTAAGATCAAAAACTCAGGTGATAGTAGATGCTGTCGAGGATGTGGAGAAAGAGGAACAGTCCTCCATTGTTGGTGAGATTGCAAGATGGTGCAACCACTCTGGAATCAGTCTGGCGGTTCCTCAGTCAATTGGACATAGCATTACCTGAGGATCCAGCTATACCACTCCTGGGCATATATCCAGAAGATGCTCCAACATATAACAAGGGCATATGCTCCACTATGTTCATAGCAGCCTTACTTATAATAGCCAGAAGCTGGAAAGAACCCAGATGTCCTTCAGCAGAGGAATGGATACAGAAAATGTGGTACATTTACACACTGGAGTATTACTCAGCTATTAAAAACAATTAATTTGAGAAATTCTTTGGCAAATGGATGGAACTAGAAAGTATCATCCTGAGTGAGGTAACCCAATCACAAAAGAACACACGTGGTATTCACTCACTGATAATTGGATATTAGCTCAAAAGGTTGAAATAGCCAAGATTCAACTCACAAACCACATGAAGCTCATGAAGAAGGAAGACCAAAGTGTGGGTGCTTCAGTCCTTCTTAGAAGGAGTAACAAAATACTCAAGGGAGCAAATATGGAGGAAAAGTGTGGGACAGAAACTGAAGGAGGGGCTGTCTGAAGACCATTCCACCTGGGTATCCATCCCATGTGCAGTCACCAAAGGTAGATGCTGATGTGGAAGTCAGGAAGTGCATGCTGACAGGAGCCTGATATAGCTGTGTCCTTAGAGGTCTGCCAGAGCCTGACATATTCAGAGGTGGATGCTCACAGTTAACCATTGAACTGATCATGGGGTTCCCAATGGAGGAGTTAGAGAGAAGGAGCTGAAGGTACTGAAAGGGTTTGTGACCCCATGAAGAGAGCAACAATACCAACCAACCAGAGCTCCCAGGGTCTAAACCACCAGCCTGGGAGCACATAGGGAGGGACCCATGACTCCAGCTGTATATGTAGGGGAGGATGGCCTTGCTGGGCATAGGTGGGAGAGGAAGTCCTTGGTCCCATGAAGGCTGGATGCCGAATGTGGGGGAATTCGAGGGTAGGGAGGTGGGAGTAGGGGTGGGTGGGGGCACATCCTCATAGAAGCAGGAGGAGGGGGGATGGTATAGGGAGTTCCTGGGTGGTGGGGAAATGGGGTAAGGGGATAACATCCGAAATGTAAATAAGATATCCAATAAAAAAATGAAAAAAAGAAAAAGAAAGGAAAATGATAAGAAAAGAAAACCTGGCATAAAACAGTAACAACTCCAATCATTTTGAGTTTCCTGAGAGGTTGTAAAATTGTTGGCAGTTTCAGAGGCACTGTACAAATGACATCATAGTTGAAAGCTAGAAATTGAGCTTCTTTGGTCTCCGTTTGGTACCACATGTTGTTTTGGTCGGACATCAGTTAACTTTCTATTTTTACTGGGAGTGATGTCATAACTGTGTTTAGGACAGTGTCTGGCTCTGTCATCTGTGGAACTCAACACACGGTCATGCTTTTGAATGTCGTTTTTTCTAAAGCTGGAAGCATGTGTGTATTTGGTGGGGAATGTGCTCATCAGCAAATATTCCACAATATTCTGAAACATATTTTCCATTGAGAGTCTAGAAGCTAGCATGTGGCACACACCTGCACATTCCAGAGTGTGAGAGACTGAGGCAGGGGGATTGTTTCAGACCAGGAGTTTGAGGCCAGAAAGAAAAAAGTCTAAAAAAGGTATTTTGGTGTATCAGTAGGTGGCAAAATGAGTAACTTTGTAACACATTTACCATAGAAATACTAATATTCCTAATGACGAGATAACATCTGAACTCTATTTAATATTTATCCATGCAAACTGATTGATGACTCATAGCCAGATTAATAACTGAATTTCCAGGGGATGTGATCTTACATATAATTGAGCTAAGTTCCCCCTGAATAATTTATACAAATAATTCATATGGTGATAATTTATGCAAAATTATGCATAAAAGCCCCAAAAGTAAACAGAAAAGAAAAACAAGACAAGCCCCAGGTCTTTTTCCCCCTCATTTACCCTCTTCCTCCAAACACCAAGCAACAGAGGGCCCAGTACAAACGATGGCCTTATGGTAATGCATGTAATTAGCTGGGGGTCTATGCAAGGTCTACCTTGTGGACCCCACACTCCAGGACACAGAATTCACAGTTGGGGTGTGTGTGTGTGTGTGTGCAGAATCCAGCTATCAGCAGTTTCAGAAACTTCTACACACACACACAAACAGACAGTTGTGGTACAGGCAACAACAGTTATGTTTGGCTACATCTACCATCTACTCACTTAGAAGTGTGGGGTCCTCTCCCTTCAGTTTTCATCTGCTCCACTAGCTGAGAGGTACCCTGAGGTGTCTGGTGTGGAGTTTTGTGAAACACTACACTGGCTGACAATGTGACAAGTATCACCATCATTTCGTCTGACACACAGCTGATTTGCTATGCAAATATTAACTCCTCCATTGACCAGGTGACAGCCTTAGGTTTCTCTTCATTTGTTTTAGAATTCTCCTCCCGCATCACAGGAGACATCACTCCCAACCCAAACGAAGCCCTGTGCTTTCCTTTATATTTTTGCAAGCCTATTTCTCCTGCTTGACAAATTAACAAGTCTTTAGGGTCTGCCTTACCTCCACGATGCTTTTTAGGTCTTGCACGTAGGTCCTCTCAGTCTCCAGGATTTCCTGTACAACTCTGTCCACATAGAGGAGCTTGGGGCTGGAGGCTGAGTCTGCAGTGGTTTGGGATGCCCCGTTCATGTCCGCTCTCCATGGCGTCCTGGGCTGCTTTTCGCTGACCCCATCCATGCTCTGCGGCCCAGCAGGGTTGTCCCTCTGCAGCTCGCTGCTGGAAAATGGTCGTGCTGGTATCAGCTCCAGCTTTATGGCCCCAGCTTCTTTATCCTGGTGAAATATGCCCAAGTGGCTATTTGAAACCAAAGTCATTCTGCTGCCAAAGGAACCATGGCTGTCCCTGGAGGAGGCCGAGGATGAGGTGGAGCCGAAGCTAATGGGTCGGTCACTGTCGGAAAGCTCCATAGTTTTTGGTTCTGGGGATTGGGAGGGGTCAGCTGTGGTCCTTGGATCAGGAACTCGATTTACAGCTGATGACACTTCCAGGTGCAAACGGTGGTGTCCATCTGCTTCCGTTGCAGGATAGAAAACACAGAAGAAAGATCAGTGAGTGTCCTCTCAACAGAAGGAGGGCAAAATCCAACCCCCCTATTCCCCCCCCCCCTCCGGTGCAGAGCATCGTTGACAAGAGGAGGCGAGTTAACTGGGGAAGGCAGACTGAGATGCTGAGAAGAACTTCTGCTTCCGAGCATCATCTGAACCTGCTGGAAATGCAGCCTCAGGCTCTGCCCCAGACCTCCTGACCTGGAATCTGCAACCTAACAGACTGCAGAGTGAGCCAGGGTGCCCCAGCCTGTGAGAAGCAGAACACCCACGGCATACACTTTCTAAGTGTGACCACCTGCACTGACTTACATAAGCAGAGGAGTCCAGATTTACTAACTTAAAGGCTCAGCAGTCAGGACATAAAGAACAGGCAACTTTAGTCAACATCACAAGTGGTTCGTGAGTGCTGAGAAAGGAGACAGAGTCTTACAGAATCTTGAGAAAGGTTATTTTAGATTTTAAGTCTTTCACCATAATTCTACCAGTTTAAAGCAAGAGGCCTGCGTCATGGAGACTTGGTTTAAGTGACACTGACTAACACATATTTCACTCCAGCTCAGCACTGAAAATAGAGATTTGGGGGGCTAATTTTTTCTAATAACGATCACAGGAAAGAGCTGACTCCTGCAAGCTGTACCACAGTTCTAACGGGCCTAGAAGATGCTTTCAAAACGCTCATGTGGTACCTCACTGCATCTTTCTTCCTACAGCTCGCTCTCTCTCTCTCTCTCTCTCTCTCTCTCTCTCTCTCTCTCTCTCTCTCTCAAGTAAATAAGTAAATAAATAAATAAATAAATTGTAGTATCTCTCAAGCGATAATATTCAAGAATAACTCCAGCAGTCCACACACCAAAGCCGTAAAGCAACACTTTATATTAGGAACTAAGTGATAGCAAAATGAAGCACATCTGGGTTGTTAACATTTGTGAGACAGCACAAAGTGAGACCATCTGCCAGCCAGAGAGGTGACAATATACGTGGTTCAGGAGAATGATCCTGGGTTCAAAATGGGCTGTACCTGAACTTAGATATTCTAAAAATTATTCTTGAGAAACATGCAAGAATCCAAATTTTTTTCCAGCTGTCAAGGCAGGATCAGTATTTTCACCCTATAATAATGAGATTGTGCCTTATAAGGGCTTTGATCGATAATGAAATTGGCTACCAAAAATCTCTGTTTAGATTAGAGGTCTTATTAGAAATGAGAGAGGTTGGCAGGCAGAGCCGGTGGGGAGATTTACGGTGGAAAGGTTATAATATGACAGATATATAAGAATATAGATCAATGGTCATTTTTGATAGGAACAGGAGCTTGTTTTGACTTTATAATAAAGATCAAATTGCTGGTACCAATCTTTTTAGAATATAAGTTCTTTCAATCCATATCTTCCTAGACTATGTGCACAGAAGATATCAGTGCCAACTTATTAAAACAAATGTTAAAATTGCGAATATGACCTGAAGGCCCTCACTTTGGTTGACAACAAGGAACGATAAGAAACACATAGGAAATGAACATACTCAGTATGGCGGCCAGCACATGGTATGAGTTTGCTGTGGATTTTTAAAGCTTTTGAAATATGCTTTCTGCTTGCTCTGTAACAACTTTATAGCCCATAAAACATGGATTGGTTTGTAGTTAAAATGCACTTGACCTAAAAAGCTTGATCCAACTTGAGTGTGGCGAAGATCCAAGAAGTGGCCATGCATTCAGACATGCTTGCTGCAGAGTACACTTGCCAACGTTCAGAACTGCTGGTATGAAAATCTAGAATGTGATAGGCTAGGGAGGTGGCTCAGTGAGTAGAAACAGTAGCTGTGCCAGCATGAGAATCTGAGTTAGAATCTCTGAACCCACATAAAGCTTGACACAGTAGTGTGTGTCCGTAACACTGAAAGTCCTAGAGCAAGATGGAAGGTAGAGATAGAAGGATCTCTGCAAGCTTGCAGGCTGCCTAGCCTTGGCTGTGCAGACACACCCACCCACCCACACACACACACACACACACACCACATACCCCACACACTCACAGATTCATATACATACACATGCACATATTAAAACACACACACACAGGCACACACACATTCATACACATACATATACTTAAACACACACATAGATACACTGCAATGGATGGGAACACCTTTGAGATATTTTCAAAGGTGAGAAAAATTGGAAGGTGACAATGAAGGTAACAGATATCTGCTTCTGGGTCACTCTTATCAGACACATGAGTAGGTCTTGGTCTAGGGATGCTCCTAAACCAGACCACTGAAGCTCCTGGGCTCTGTAATTGCTAGCTAGATACCTTATACAACAGAATCCTGAAGATATCTGTAGTATTTAGCCAAGCTTAACTTGGCTAAATATCTTCCAAAGCTACCAAAGACAGAAATAAGACATTTAAAATCAGGGCAAATAATAGCATGTGATTTGAGGCTGTACTTGTTAATGAGTAGCATCTTTTCTGTTGGCTCAGGGCTTAGAAGGTAATTATAGTTTTCTTATTTAAGGCACCATGCTTTGTACCAACTGTCTCGGCTCACTCTCACCTCCTTCAAAACCATTGACGATTTCTATTGCCTGGACTCTTCTTTCTAATGTAAATCTCCAATGATTAATATTTCTAAAATTGTGCTGCTTGACATAGCCACTGGCTCTAGGGTCCACTGAGCACTGGAGATGGGCTGGTCCAGAACTGATGTGAATAGAACATACAGAATAGATGCTGGATTTAGAAGTCAGTATGAAACAAAATTATGAAATTCTTCATTCATGATTTTATGTTGATTATCTGTTGAAATGGTATTCTAGAATAGTGAGACACTTTTAATATCTTATTAAAACTTTGCCAGTATTGTTTTACCTTTGTAAATGTTACTAACTAGCAAGTTTTAAATCCTATGGATAGCCTGTGTATATTTTTATCAAGTGATGCTTATGCTGATATCGTCTAGATAACTACATTAATCTGTAAGATTTAGGGGCTGGAGAGGAAGCTCAGTGGATAAAAGTATGTACTGCTCTTGCACTCACATTGGATAGCTCACAACCACCTGTAACTATGAGGTTTGTTTGCTGTGTATTGTAATGCTAAGTGTGGGCCCCCAAGACCTGGTTGTCCCAGAGAGGAGAGAGTCCAAACATAGACCCAAGTGATGCTATGTGACCCTGCCCCTCAAGTTATTTCTAATTGCTAAATAGAGTTGCCAATAGGAGAGACACAAGGTTTGAGGGTTCCTGGGCTTATGGGGCAGGGGTGGGGGGTAAGTCACTATGGCTTAGGTAAGTCAAGAAAACATGACTCTGAGGTCTGACCAATTGGAGTTAAGAGCAGCCCAGATGAAACACTGTAAATAGTAACTCAGGGTTATCGATAGGAAACATATTTTGATAGCATAGAGGGTAGATATCTGTCCAGCTCTTGTTCTGTTTAAGCCTGATTGTAAATAAGAGAAGTTGTGTGTCTTTTATCCACAAAGATCAAAGATGGGGTAGAAACCCCGAATCAGATTAAACATTTCTACAGCATGTAACTTCAGCTCCAGGGAATCTGATTCCTTCTTCTGGACACTGTAGGCATACATGTGCACAAAACCTCACACAGACATACATATATATAACTTAAAATTATAATGAATAAAAGATTTTAATTTATCTGCTTATCCATTTTTGTTCAAATAACAGTGAGTGAATGATGTATGAAACTTTTTCTTTATTACTATATTCATGCATTGTTAGGAGTAAGTAGGGAGCATATGTGTGTTTGCTCTGGTTCAATGTCCTTTTAGTTGATCATATCATTGGTTCTATCCCCTGATAGTGAAGTAGTTGGACCAGATCGCCTTCCCAGGCCCCATACAACCTCCCCAATGTAACTCCATCCCTGAAGTAACCAGAAGGTCACTAGCTAATGTCCATTCCTATCTGCAGTCAGGCACAAGTACAAACTCCATGCTAGCAATGTCCTATATGGTACTGATGCCAGGTTATAGCCAGGAAAGTTTATCACTGACTTTGCCATGAGAAAATGAAACAAACCACCAATCCCTATTTTAAATTTCAATTGAAAAATAACCAGTTCCAGTTTCACTTTGAACAGTGGTTTCCTGTTAGCATGAAACTCCTAGACTCAAGTAGTAAGTGAAGAAGTGTCACAAACGCCAGCATCATTGGTATGGAACACACTTCTGTCCCAACAGCTCTGCTGTTTGGAAGGAGGCAGAAAGCAAAACAACATTTTCTTAAAGGAAGAGGAGGAAGGATGGAATTCCAAGGGACTGACAATAGCACTTGGCAAATAAATCCCTCCTCAAAGGACATTAAACATTTTCTTCATGAAAAAGGAGGAAGGGAAATTGAGATACCTAACAATAGGAGTCAGAGTAAAGCAACCCTTTGGACAGCACAATGTAAAACGATTACATGTCAGGCCCTTTGTGGTCCTTAAAGGTAGAGGAAGCTATGTATTCAAAATACACAGCCGAGGAAAGAGGAATGGTTTAATAACTGTGCACAATGGGATCTGAAATTTACATTTTAGATACCAATTTACTGTCACAAAAAGGAAATATTGTAAAATACTAACATGACTTTTCCCAAGTAGAAATGGGTCATTTTCTTTGGCTGTTTATCCCAAAATAGCTCTTTTCTTCAATAACCTTTCAAATAGCCTTCACAATCTGCCCAAATTATTTAAGGAAATGAAAACCACAGCCCCCATCTGTGTCAAGTATATAAACATTTTAAATGAAAACAATTTGATTTTCATATACAATATACGTTAAAGTTAAATCTACACACATTACAAATGTCGACATCCTAAAGTTGAGAAAATTAGTAGGACGCTATAAAGTTAATTCCAGTAGATAATAACATTGAATACAAGTCCAGCTGCCTCTCCATCCCAGTCATTTCTTTTATAAAGGTTTCTTCTACCTATAGAACACTCAAACACAA